ATGGTCAGAACAAGAGTAATTCTAAATATGTATATAGTAGTCCTAAAAGGCTGTAAAACCTAAGATATTACTTGTTCATAAATAGCCCATGTCGTTTAAGCTTAACATTTACTGGCTGATGCAACCTATGGTAAATAGTTCCTTTCGTCACTTATGTGTCTTCTACTCCCCTTATCTCAACTGGGAAAAGAAAAAAGAAAAAAATAACAGTGTCGGTATCAGTAAAATGCCGCCACATTTGGTTTGCTGGATACTAAATGCATGCAATTCAGGGCATTTGCACATTTCCAGGGCTTAAATACACAAAAAATGCACCCCTTTCAAAGAAACACAGGCTAAAATAATTTTATATTTAATCCAACTTTGATTAATTCTTCTACTAGCTAGCCGAGAAGCTATAGAAGTAGAGGAGAAATACAAAAAGAAGACAAAAACTCAGTTTCTCCTTTTCATTCTTCAGCTTTTCTGCCAGACAAAACACAATCCAAACTCCAGGACAATGATTACTTACTATTCTATGCAAAAAAAAAAAATTAATGCAGTTCGTGAGCAATGGTAGTTCCCACTCCACTCCACACCAAGATGGTGTTAGAAGCTGCTGATTCAAGCTCAGAGACCCCTCAAATGAAAGAGAGACGAACAAGTGCATTTGCTGTTCACCCCTCCAACACCACCTTTAAAACAGATTTACTGATTAACAATTATTTTTACTTGCATTTCATTATAAAAATCACTACCAAAAACCAGCAAGAAAACAAAAAGATCAGTCCAATACAAAGATCCAAGAAACAAGGGCAATGAATTCAAAATAGTATTTGTAATGGTAATCTCTGTCATCACTCGTGTCGAATTATATATGACAGTCAATTTCAATCATAAAAAAAGGTCAGACGGCAGCAGAAAAGCCTCAAAAAAGAAGTTTGATTGTACGAGGGCTTGGCATAATACTGATACAAATGATAAAGCCTCAAAAAAGAAGTTTGATTGTACGAGGGCTTGGCATAATACTGATACAAATGATAAAATTATTTACAAGGACATTCCACACGTAATAATATTGCCATTTAAGATGGCAACACATTAGCCGTAAATAATCTAGTCACTTGGTCGTGAATTATTTTATAAAGGGGTAATCTTTGGATTTGTATATTTTCCTTGGATACTAGGATGCCTCAATTGACTGTGATGATACAATCAGTTTTATGGGATAGTTTGGAGAAGTTCTTTACTAATTTTTCGTGTTGGCCTGTTTGAGCCCCATTTTTTGAGTATAATGCATTTTGGAATAGTAGATTGATGGAGAATGTATGGTTAAAAAAGTAGGAAAAGTTTTTGGGTTGTGTTTAATATTATTTTATTAAACAATGCGTGGTTGAAAAGAAGAGAAAGGAAAATATATTTTGAAAAAAATGGGAATCATAGTTAGATTGTTTATAGAACCTATAAATAGTCGTGTGTGCTTAGGCATCTTTGCGAAACAAATTCAAGAATTAAAGTAAAAATTTCCTTAAGAGTTATCCAACAAAGATGAATCATAGCTATCTTGAATTAGGGTAATCCAAAATAACGTCATTCCTCTTTTGACTTGTTTTACTGGGTTTATGTAGAATTGCTGAAAAAGGATTTGCCTAGCCTGAAAATGAAGATCGACTATTTCAAGCTTTGAAAAATTGGTCGAATGACAGCACATGGGGGGACAACAAGGCAATCTTCCAAATTTGTTGAGTATCGGCATGAGTGTCTACGAAAGAATTGCCAAGGTACAAATTTCTAGGAAGTGAAAAACTTATTGAGTTACCATATGAAGGTGAAGATCAAATGAAGGCGTATGTTGGTAGTCACAAACCTTGAAAAGACAATTCAGAAAACTAGAGATGAAAAAGAATAGAAAATGTTTTCGAATATTTTACTAGAGGTAATTTCATTGTACATCAAACAGTTGAACATAGGTGAGCAATATAGCTATATTATTATCATTAATTTAAACGAACAAAAGCGCTTGGAATATTATATACAACACTTATAAGGCACACATAAAATTTAAAAAAGAACTCACAGCTTCAATGAGAGATTGAATCCACTAAATGGCCATACCTTAAACTGGAGGTACTTGAT